TAAAAAAAAAAAAAAAAAAAAAAAAAAAAAAAACCTAACCTTTATGGTTAGTACATAACTCTTTAGTAGAGTATTCATTTATGAATAGCTAATATTTACTTTTTCTTTATACTGATCTTTTCAGAATTTTTAAACATGAAATGAGTGTTCTTAATTGTGGCAATATAATTATTTATATAAGTTCAATAGAGAACTGTTCTTCTTGTGACAAGAATGAATTGTTAACATTGATTATTTTACTAAGGATCTGACATGAATGCCAAAAATGATAATGGTGTATACAGAACCTGAATTTAATGAACTAAGACTGACTTTACATAGCAATGCTTCCAAAATCCCTATGAAAAGCTGGTCCAATGTGTGGATCACATTGTTCACTACATTATATATGAGGAAATATGTCACTTCTTGGCAGGTCAGAGAAACTTAAGACACCCTGGAGACTATCAAGAGATGAGATAGTTACACAAATTTCTAAAGACTGTAGATGAAGTCAGGTGTCTGGTTCCTGGTTTTGCTTTCTAAACTTGGGAGACTCAGAATTCAAATCTGGTCAAGTACTATGAAGAAATCTCAAGAATACATTTGTACTCAATTTACCTTCTTCTGCCTTTATGCAACTAATTAGACAAATCTAATGAGATCTAACAGACCTTATAATTATGAATAAACTTCCTTTTTTGTTGATCAGAGTAGGGACAATGCTAAGGAAATTTTATCTTCAATGAAATAAGAGCATATTCATTTGTGTGGATATGTAGAAATACAACTGGATCACATTATTCCTATCATTATCAAATTTTCAGTTGACTAGTTTCCTTTCATATAGGTCCTTAAAAAATTAATGAAAATGTACAAAATCTTTTCATTCATTTTTTTTTGACCAGCAGAGTGGATAGTGAGAGAGAGAGACAGAGAGAAAGGTCTTCCTTTTTGCCATTGGTTCACCCTCCAATGGCCGCCGCCACCGGTGCACTGATCCAAAGCCAGGAGCCAGGTGCTTCTCCTGGTCTCCCATGGGGTGCAGGGCCCAAGCACCTGGGCCATCCTCCACTGTACTCCTGGGCCACAGCAGAGAGCTGGCCTGGAAGAGGGGCAACTGGGACAGAATCTGGTGCCCCAACTGGGACTAGAACCCGGTGTGCCGGCCCCGCAAGGCGGAGGATTAGCCTAGTGAGCCGCGGCGCCAGCCATCATTCATTTTTTATGTGAAATTTTGAATTCTGTATCCATCCCATAACTTTCTAGGCCATTTCCAAAACCTGACTCCCTGCATCCTTACTCCGAGTATCTGAAGGAACTCCTCTAGCTGAGGCTGGATGCTTCCAAGTTCTGCTCTGTACACAAGCCTCACTGTAGTATTGATGGCTATGCATCACTGAACACACTCAGTATGCAAGTCAGGAAGTCTGATGGGTTCCGTTGTCTTCTCACTACTTCAGTAAAGATGATTTGGGCTCAAGTCTAGAAATCTTGACTGACTGCACTCAGGAATCAAACACCAGACTTCCTATGATGAAACTCTTTTTTTTCATAAAAATTTTGGAATAGATTTACCTTGGGCAGGGGTTTGGCAGGTCTGCAGTGGAGCCCTCCAATGAAATCAACATTTGGCAAGAGTGGACGAGGAAAATCCACATCCCAGTAGGTGCGAATGAGCCACATGTCAGCTTTCCCCATTAATTCAGTTAATTTAGTGGGCCTTCCTGAAGGAAAAAAAATATTAAAAAAATTATAAAACATGAGAAAAGTGTCAGTGGAATAGGCCAGTTGATTTTCTGAAGAGGTTTAAATGATGTATCTAAAATAAAAGTATCTCTGGTTTGAAACCACCTATAAATACCATATGGGTGTATGTCTATATATAATATAATATATGTGATATATGTATGTAAATATGTATGTAAATACATATATCACATATATTATGTATATAATATCAGACGAATTATGAGAAAATGTTGCATCTGTAGCTCACTTAGTATATTCACTATCATAAACAACTGTCAAAATAACACATTATACAATTAACAGGTGTTTGTTTTCTTTTTAAAGCTATGACAGCAACAAATACCAAGGCCCAAGCAATGCCTATGCTGGGTACATTCTGAATGGAAATGAATTTGTCTGTCAAAGTGACATCTGCTCTTCCATCTTTGTTGGAGAACTGTTCACAATAGGCAAGAAATGCAAACAGCTTAAAAGTTAAAAATCTCCATTGATGAGCGGAGAAAGGCAACGTGGTACATCTACACAATGGAATATATTTAGCCCTTAAAGGAATGAAACCTTGTCATCTGCAATGGCATGGATGGAAACCAGAATCCTTTTGTTAACTGAAATAAACTAAGCCCAGAAAGGCAGGTGTCACATGATCTCACTGTTATGCGAAATGCAAAAGAACAGAAGAGCTCATAAAAGTTAAAAATATGATAGTGTCAACAAGTGGCTGAGAGGGCAGAGATGGAAATGAAAAGGCTAATTAATATGTCCTAAGTTATAGCAAGTTAGGAATAAGGAATTTGGAGATTAATGCATACTTGCATGACTATAGATAACATTAGTGTTCAGTATACATATAAAACCTAGAAGATACAATTTGGAGGTTAGCACCATAAATAAATGTTAAATGTTTGTGGGAATAAATATATTTACCCTCATTGTACAGTGTACAATGTATACATGCTCAGGCATATCACAAATTACTACACATAAACGTATAATTTTTGTCAGTTAACTTTTTTAAAAAATTAACAATTTGAAGCAATAACCAAATGTTAATGTAAGCAAATATTTGAGTTCTATAATCAATTAATCCTACCATACCCCTTTCCCAAGAGTGTTGTGATTATTTTCCAGTTTAAGAGCTTGATCCTAGGCTGTCCAGATCAGTTGTGAAGTTTATAGAGAAAATATCTAAATTCCTCATATCTACTATTGATCTTGGTTCAAGATATGTGCCTCATAATATTTGATTATATAAAATACTTATAAATTCTACCTGTAAAGTTTTCAGAAAATGTGGAAATTGAGATTTGATTTTACCCTCAATTTAAGATATTTCTTCCTTTAATGAAGATACATAGTTTTTTTTTTTTTAATACAGCAATACTTTATATGTCCACACATATACATTATAGGTGTTTTTTTTTTTTTTTCTTGACAGGCAGAGTTAGATAGTGAGAGAGAGAGACAGAGAAAGGTCTTCCTTCCGTTGGTTCACCCCACAAAATGGCTGCTACAGCTGGCGTGCTGCGCAGATCCGAAGCCAGGAGCCAGGTGCTTCTCCTGGTCTCCCATGCAGGTGCAGGGCCCAAGCACTTGGGCCATCCTCCACTGCCCTCCAGGCCATAGCAGAGAGCTGGACTAGAAGAGGAGCAACCTGGACAGAATCTGGCGCTCAACCAGGACTAGAACCCGGGATGCCAGCGCCGCAGGAGGAGGATTAGTCTAGTGAGTCTCAGTGCTGGCCATTATAGGTTTTTAAAGCAAATGAATTGGAAGTCCTTAGTGAAGAAATGGGCAATCACTAAAAACCTCAAATAATTGATTTTCTGTGTCTGGAGTATACTACATCTGCCCACTGTGAATGAATTCCGTATGGCCTATAATAAAATATTCTAAGTTCTAAACAAGGAAACTGATTCCCATGAGAGGAAACAGGTTTCTCAATGTTCCATAGATAATTGGAAATACATGTGTTAGTTCTCTATCTACATGTCTACATTCAGCATGGCCCTCAGTGAGACTTAAAATTACTGTTTTTTAAGATGAAATTAGAAGAAGTACAGTAACGCTGCTTAGAGAAGTCCTTAGTGCTTTCATTTTATGACTTAACACGTCCCGTATGAGAGACAGCCTTAATCACAGTTTTCTGAAGCACTTTGAACATGTTAGGTCATTTCATATTATAATTTAATTTCTTTCTTTTTTTTTTTTTTTTTTTTTTTGACAGGCAGAGTGGACAGTGAGAGAGAGAGACAGAGAGAAAGGTCTTCCTTTGCCGTTGGTTCACCCTCCAATGGCCGCCGCGGCTGGCACTCTGAGGCCGGCGCACCGCACTGATCCGATGGCAGGAGCCAGGTGCTTATCCTAGTCTCCCATGGGGTGCAGGACCCAAGGACTTGGGCCATCCTCCACTGCACTCCCGGGCCACAGCAGAGAGCTGGCCTGGAAGAGGGGCAACCGGGACAGAATACGGCGCCCCGACCGGGACTAGAACCTGGTGTGCTGGCGCCGCAAGGCGAAGGATTAGCCTAGTGAGCCGCGGCGCCAGCCAATAATTTAATTTCATTATTATAGTTTTAAGAGACAAATTTCTCTGATTTGATAAGCATAGAAAATCACCTCCAAACACAAGAAGTTAGGGCCAGACAATATACAGTGAAAACATAACTTACCTAGAACTTCACTGTAAAATCTATCCCATTTCTTCTCATTAAAAGTTTGGAACCAAAAGTCAAAATAAAGCACATACAGTACATTTTTTACCCTCTGCATGAAAGTCATTTTATCAGTTAATTCTGACATAACAATAGGTACATAGGAAGGGGGAAATAGAAGTCCTCCACTATACTTTTCATAAGTGTAGCCTGGAAAGAAGCGGTGTGTATACAGAAAGGGAACTTTAAGTAGCTCAGCCAGCAGCTCACCACAGGGACACAGGGCATCTGCAAGAATGACATCAAACCTCGATTCTTTCAGTTTTGTCACAAGTGTCTTGTTCAAAACTGCATCTCTACAGATATTTTCAAAAAAATCAGAATCCAACCACGACAGTTCTTGAAGTACTGAATAATATTTCCAAAATGAATAATTTCCCATTTCAAAAACATAGCTCATGATTGACTCTGTGATATACTTCTCATAATCATCTCTGGATATTGATAGAGGAAAAGTCTCAAATTTAATAGCAGATTTGTTGGGATCAAGTAGAACATAAGCTGAAGGTTTGAGAACAGTCACCTCATGTCCTCTCTGGATGAGCTCATCCAGGATGGTCTTTATATTGATCCAATGACTGTAATCCATCGGCCACACCAGCACCTTTCCACCTCTCCCAGAGCTGAAGTAACAGCTGAGCTGTAGCAGTAGCAGAACCGAAATCCACTTCCTAGACATTATGATTAAATGTGAAGCTTCTTTCAAACTGTTGCTGCCTCTGCGCTTGAACGTAGTCAAGAATAAACTTCATGTGGTTAAAATATAACTTATACAAGTCAAAGTAAACTCTAGTAAGAATGATCAGAGTCTCTGTATGAAAAACAGAAAAAACCAAAGCCATACAACTTCACGTTTACATGGATTTGTGTAACGACACTTTTATGATTAATGCTTACATCCAATTAAGAGATGATGACTTTGCTTATCTATTTCATCCATGTTATATAAACATTTTTGGAGTAGTGTCAAGAACAGGCACATCACTTGTGTCTGTAATCCTCTTGACACAGGACTAGAAATTATGTAATAATACACCTGATTCAACATGTCTTGGATTTCACAATGCAGTAGCTTTCTCTCTCTGGAGTGGGGTAGGGGAGAAAGGGAGAAAGTAAATATTCTATTGACTTATACAATTCACTTACTTTAGCTATATAATTCAACAGTTTAGACTGCATCCTCAGAATAGTAAAAGCTGCTACAATCATTTGTAGAATATTTTGCCCTCCCCCAACCAAATAAACCCTCTGTCCTTAGCCAATTCTCATTATAAGCACTAGCAAACACTAATTTACTTCCTATCTATATAGATTTTCTTTTTGGGTCATTTCATTTAATATGATAATACAATATGTTGTCTTTTTTGACTGGCTTAATACTTATGATACTGTTTTTGAGGCCCATTCATACAATAGCATGTGTCAGAACTTCATTGTCTCCTATTTGCCAGGTGAAATCTGATAGCTCAGACATAGAACACTTTTGTTTATTCATTCCTAAGTTGATGGGCATTTCATTTAATGCCTTTATTGACATTTTTGTGCTACTTGTGGTGGACAAATTCACATTTTCTTTGTGTGTGTAACTATAAGTGGAATTGCTGACTCATAGTAACACTATATTTAGCCTTTGAAGAATTGGCAGACTCTATTCCAAAGTGATTGCACCATTTTCTGTTCTACAAACAATATACGAGAATTTCAATTTTCCTCCTACTTGCAAGCACTTCTGATGTCTTTTGTTATAGCTGTATTAGGGTAAAATAGTATGTCATTGTGGTTTGAACTTAAATTATTCTGTAATGATAACTGAGCAATTTTACGTGCTTTTGGTCATATATATATATACACCTTTCTTGGAGAAAAGTCTTTTCAGATACTTTGATCTTTTTTGTCTGTATCCAATATTTTTAATGAAATGATATTTCATTCTTTATAAGCACATACAAATATGGTTCTTAACATCACAAGATTTAAGCTATAAGCATCAGGTTTCAACGTAAGCTGTATCACTTTAATGTTTTGTTCATGTAAAAACAAGATCGTAAAAACAACCACATAGGAAATTGAATAATTTAATTGAGTAAGTTAAATTATTAATAAATTGAATAAATTAAATGCACAATGATTAGTGCCTGTGCTTTCCAATCTTAGAGGTTTTTGATTGGGTTATTTTTCTTCATATTGAGATCAGCTTTCTTTATGTATTCTCCCCTTGTTGTATATGTGATTTGTAAATAGATTCATCAATTTTGAAGGTTGTCTGTTCACCTTCATTTTTTATCTTTTAAAATGTTCATCTGTTATAGTTTTATATGTTTATTGAATACAGTTTGCTATTTAAATTCTTGTATGCATTTCATATTGATCAAATATGTTAATTATCACAGCCATCACCTCATGCATTTACTGTTTTTTTTTTTTGTGGTGAAAACACTAAAACACCAGTTTTCCAACTGTGTTGAACTATGCAATTCCTCACAGTTAATTCCAGTCACCTTATTATGCAAGAGGACACCGGTTTATTTCTCTTATCTATGAATTGTACCCAAGCCCAAACTCTTCTGATCCTCTCCCCTTCCATTCTCTAGGTAGTATGTGGCTGTCTCTATTCTACTCTCTACTTCTATAAATTCAGCTTTTTTAGAATCCACATCAAGTTAGGCATGTGTGTCTCTGTGTGTCTGACTCACTACATTTAATATAACATCTTCCAGGTTTGTATACACTGCCCTGAAGTAAAAGAATTTCTTTATTTCTTTTCTTTCTTCTTCTTCATCTTCATTTGATTTGTTTATTATTTGTACTGCAGTAGTGTGCCATTTTTTACACTAATACTTTTTTTAAAAAATATTTATTTGAAAGGCAGACTTTTGGAGGGGAAAGACAGAGAGAGAGACACACACACACAGAGAGAGACAGAGAGAGAGAATGAATCGTCCATCTGCTGGTTTACTCCCCAGGGCTTGGTCAGATGGAAGCCAGGTATCAGGCTCTTCATCTGGTCTGCCACAAGGTTGCAGGGGCCCAAGTAGCCATCTTCGGTTGCTTGCCCAGGAGCAATAACAGGCAGCTGGATCAGAAGAGCAGCAGCTGAGACATCAACTGACGCCCATATAGGGTGCTGGCGTGCAGGCTTCAGCTTAACCTGCTGTGCCACAGTGTCAGCCCCATTCTTTATCCACTCATTAAAGGTCAGGCATTTAGTTCAACTCTGTAAGCTTTGACTTCATAAATATGATGTAGTAAACATGTAAGTGCAGATGTAGTTTTTCTTTATTGATTTCATTTTCTTTGGGTATAAAATCAGAAGTTGTATTGCTGGATTCTAGAAAAGTTCTATTTTTAACCTTTTGGAGACCTTACATACTGTTTTCCATAATGGCTGCACTAATTGAAATTCCAGTCAAGAGCTGCATAGGTGCTCCACAACCTCCTCAAGATGAATTATCTTTCATCTTTCTGATACTAAAAGTTATAAATGTAAAGAGGTTGTGCTGCAGTTTGTTTTTGACTTGGTATTTTCCTAATAATCAGTGATGTTGAGCATTTTGTCAGATTCCTATTAACCTATTTTGTCTTCCTTTGAAAAATGTCAATTAAAGATTTTCTCTGATTTTGATGTTATTTTATAATAATATTATTCAAATTTCATTCATCAGTAATAAAATTGAAAGTTAAAGATCATATTTTTTATATTTTCTATTCCCTGGAATTTTGCCTTGTTTTATGATGAGTTATCCTTTTATTGTAATTATAACTGATAGAATTAAGAAGGAGAGAATGATTCAACATGGGAAGTGGGATACATAGCAAACTCATAGAATGGCATATGCCCTCAACAGCACTCTGGGCTCAGAATCAGTCCTTAAGGCATTCAGATCTGGCTGAAGAGCCCATGAGAGTATTTCAGGCATGGAAAGCCAAGACACTCTGGCAAAAAAAAAAAAAAAAAAAAAAAAAAAAAAAAAACCACACAACAACAACAACACCCCACCTAAATGAAAGATATCTGCAAGTGAGATCCCAGTGGAAAGAACGGGCCATCAAAGAAGGAGGTACCTTTCTCTGAAGGGAGGAGAGAACTTCCAATTGGACTATGACCTTGTCTAAATAAGATCAGAGTTGGCAAACTCAAAAGGCCTCCATAGCCTTGACAACTCATGACAAGAGCCTAGGGTGATTACTGACACCATAAACAAGAGTGTCAAATTGTTAAGTCAACAGGAGCCACTGTGCACTTACTCCCCATGTAGGATCTCTATCCTTAATGTGTTGTACAATGTGAATTAATGCTATAACTAGTACTCAAAGAGTATTTTACACTTTGTGTTTCTGTGTGGGTGCATACTGTTGAAATCTTTACTTAATATATACTAAATTGATCTGTATAAAAAGAGAATTGAAAATGAATCTTGATGTGAATGGAATGGGAGAGGGAGCAGGAGATGGGAAGGGTGCTGGTGGGAGGGAAGTTATGGGGGGGGAGCCATTGTAATCCATAAACTCTACTTTGGAAATTTATATTTATTAAATAAAAAAAGAAAAGAAAAAAATAAAATTTATTGTGTCCAGCATCGTTGTATTTCTCTCTCTCTTCTTGCTCATCCTCTCTATCTCTGCCTCCCTCTCCAGCTTCTTCCCTCTCTGTCACTCTGCCTTTAGTATAAAATAAAAAAAAAATTATAGCAATAAACTACAGGTTACTGCTTCTCACTCTTTATCATATATATATTGTAAAACTAGTCCTGTAGGCTGCAGCTTGCAGTTACATTTTCATTATGATTTAATTCATGTAAGAAAGCTTTTAATTTGGTCAAGTTGTTGAATTTTTGCCCTGATGCATTTTTCTGAATATCTTACAATTAAAAATATTTTGCATATACTTTAACTCATTTTTTTCTCTGAAATATTTACCTGGATTTTAGAAAAGTAATATTTTACCATAGTTATTTTATATACCAAGATCTATTTACATTGTCCTATGTTTTTGAAATCGTGATTGAATATAGTAATATCACATAATGTAGGAATCATTACAAACATCAAAAAATGAATTAAAAAGGATATGTGATTATGTGAAGACAGTATTTATAAACATACAACAAATAATAGTGTTTCTGATACATATTTCCATTATTACATAAAATGTGATATTTGTCTTTCTGTGTCTGGCATATTTCATTTATAATAATTATTATTGATTTCATTAATTTTAAGCAAATGTCAAGAGTTCATTTGATTTTTTATGGCTGATATTCCCTTGTGTAAATATACCTCGTTTTCTTTACCCACTCATCCATTGATAGATATATAACTTGATTCCCTCTCTTTGACATTATGAATAGTGCTGCAATAAACATGAGAGTGTATGTGTGTAGCTGTCTTTTTCAAAACTTCATTTCCTTTGGATACAGTCTGCAAAATGGGATAAGTAGGTCAGATGGTAGCTCTAATTTTTTGTGTGTGCTTAGAAGAAACCCCATACTGTTTAACGTAATGCTGTACTAATTCACATCCCTACCAACAGTGTGTATTAGAGTTTCTTCAATATAGAGTATATATAGAGTTTCTTTCCATGTGCTCATAATTTATTTTACTTTTGACTTTTCAATAGTATTCATTCTAACCTGAGTGATATGATAACTAATTTGTTTTTTATTTACAGCTCATTGATGTCAGTGATATTCACAATTTTTTTGTGTGTTTTTTGGACATGGCATTTCTTCTTTTGAAAAATATTTATTCAGATTCCTTGATCATTTATTACTTGATTGTATTATTGTTGTTGACTTTCTTAAGCTCCCTATATATTACATACAATAATCCTTTA